ATGATTAATATTACTCTTATTTTCTGGTATAGCTATACCTATAGTTGATATATATAACATAGGTCCATAAAGTTTCTATATACTCCTAAATCAATTAACACTTTAACTAGTTATAGAAGGATATTTATTTTAATTTTAAGATATACCCCTTACTTAGTAGCTATAAGTTACTAGAATATTAGCTTCTACTTAGGTAGTTTCTTCTATTTTAGTACTAGCTCTATATAAGTTAATACCACTTATTTCTAATTATACTCTTTATAATTCTTTTTATAGTAATAATTAGTTATTATATATTAATATTATAGGTATTACTTAAACCCTATATAAGTATATAGCTTATCTCTATATAGGCATGATCCTTCTATATTAATTAGTCTTAGCTATTCCTAAAGCTAGTACTTAAGCTTATCCTATTTAACTTTTACTTAGCTTAATATTTCTTTTAGTTCCTAGTAAAGTTATCTAACTCTCTCTTTATTGTTTATTATAATATTATTATTAATCTTAGGAGATTCTATAGGTATCTATATAGCCTTCTAGGCTTTAAAGATATTGCTTTAGGGTACTATAGCTTTGTTTATTACTATAGGTCCTAGTTAGTCCATCTGTTAACTTATAGCTACTAGTACCTATATATCTATAGATATATATCCTATATAGCCTTAGGTCTTAGGTTATAGTTCTTCTATAGCTATATTTTTTTATATATTATTAGTCTACTTGATTTCTATAAATTCGTTATTATTATATCTTTCTACTATCTCCTATATTATATAGAGTTATTAAACCTTCTCTTTGTTTTTAAGGCTAGTAATATTATAGGCTCCTCTATCTTAGGTAGCTCTAATCTGTTATAGGTAATTACTCTTATTTTGGTAATCCTATGATATATACCCTAGTTTCCTATAAGAGAAATATAGGTATTATTCCTTCTGATACTTCTATTCTTTATTAGGGAGTCTTACTATATTAAGCTCTATAGGTTATAGTCTATAAGGGTTACTATCCTAAGCCCTTGGTTATAGTTGTTTGTTATTGAATTAGTAGCCTCCTTGTCCTAGGTTCTTTTTCTAGTATTTAACTTCTTTCTTTTCTATTTATTAGTTATAGTACTAGTTATCTATTTTAATAGTAAGGTTAATAAGTTAGTTTATAGTATTTAGTTAGTTAATATATGCTAACTTATCTTTGATATAGGACTTTAGTCCTTATATATATTATAGAATAAGTATATAATCATCTTAGCCTAAAGTAGTGGTGACTTATATAAATTATGTGGTATATGTGTTGGTGGAGTTGATTTATTATAGTGATGCTAGCTTTTATTTAGTATTAATAGTTATATTAATTTCTCTGAATATTTTGTTTATATAGTCTAGGAACTTAGTATAGCTTATGAATATGTTAGTTGTGGTTATGCTTTATTCTGATCTAGGCTTTTTATAGTATTCTCTAATATATACTTTAAACTAGTCCTATACTTAGCCTTTTAGATAGGTGGATATAAAGATAATCTTACTTTCTTTACTATTTAATTATTATTGGTTTATATTGAGGTGTATCTGTATCTATGTAAGGAATCCTTATAGTTTTAACCTAGTATTGTTAAAGCTTTTTGTTTTAGGTAGCTTAACTATTTAGATACTAGTAATTAAAATAGAGGTAATTACTTAAGTATCTAGTTACTATAAGTAGTCCCTTATTTTATTAATGACTAAGGTTTGATTCTATTTATTACCTTAAGTATTTTCTATAAAGGCTTCTAAGGTTCTCTTTAATTAAGTAAGCTAATTATCTATCTGGTCTTACTAGTCCTTATTATTTCTTGTAGTGGGTTATCTCTTACTAATTAATATAGTAGGTACTATTTTTATATAATATTCTGTAAAGATAGGATAATTAATATGTTATATAATACTCTGTGGTTATAATGAGTATTGTTTGTTAAGGCTTCTACTTACTAAGTAGATACTTAATCCTTAAGTTGCTGATTTATAATTGTATTATTACTAATTGATGTTAGGCCTTATATAGGCTTGGGTCTATAGAATAGACTTAAAGGGGGCTGTGTTTAAGAGGGTATTACCTAGTTAAGCTATACTTAGTTTCTGAGTTGAGAGACTAGAGACTAAGGATACCTCTTTCTAGTAGGGTTTATCTTGTATAAAACTGATAGGTAAATGAACTATTGGGTTCTAAGTAATAATGTATGGATTGATTGTGAAGAACTAAGTATATATGGGTAATGATTGTTTTTATATACTAAGTCCTTCCTATCTATTACCTAGGTCCCATCCTACTGCTAGGATAAGATCCTATCCTACTGCTAGGGTAGGTTAGTGCCTGATTACTGAGGGTTATACCTTACGTGATTATGTTAAATATGCTATATTGTTATGGCGGAGTAATAGCTAATATGCCGAGGCGGCCCTAACTGGCTCCCTGCGCACCGGGTTTGTTTTGCTTGGGTGGTGACTGAATATGGTGTAGTTGGAGGGAGTGGAGGTTCATTATGTAGAGTAACCTAGGTACTGGACTTCCCGTCCTGACTCATTCTGCTGACTGCTTGCTTAGTCCTGGCTTAGTGAGCCTTGACTGGTTATATATCCTGTGGCTTGTTTTATGCTTCCTGGGAACGGTTAGTTCCTATCTCTTTTCTAAGGTTTTGATCAAGTAGGTCCGTAACACTATTCCTTAATAAATATTTTAATAATAGGTTATAATAGACTTATATTAAATACTAGATATATTTATATACTAATAAGTAGATTAAGCTTATAAATATATAGGCTTATAGCTTCTAGGATATAAAATAAGCTTAGGTTCTTCTAGTCTAGCTTCTTCTAGGGATATAAGATCTTAATATTCTTAGTATTTAGCTAAACTAATTATCTAAGTAGGTAGTAATAAATAGATATATAATAATAATTTATTTATATCTTATAATAAGCTTATATAAATAAGATCTTAGTATAAATATAAATAATTAGGTCTTATATATATTTAATAAACTTCTTAATATCTTAGGTAATAAGATAATTATTTAGTAAGATAGGTTTAAATCTAATATAAGAGTAGAATCTATAATTAGTATAAAATAAGAATATTTATATACTCTTAGAATAATATAAGTTTATAATAAATTTAGCTAATAATAATTATTCTAATTAATTATCTTATAGATAGGATATATATACTTAAAGATACTATTTTAGGATAATATTTATATACTTAGTTTAACTATTAATCTTAGGATAATAGATAGTTAATAATAAGTTTATAATCTATAAATATTTTATTAAGTATTTCTAGAATAAGATTATAAATTATAGGTCTTAATTAAATATAATAATATTTAATAGATTATATAATTTCTAGATATAATAAATATATAAATAAATAACCTCTTTAATATTATAGGTTCTCTTATAATAAATAAAATACTTTATCTTTATTAAGTAATCTACTATAATAAGGATTATATTATATCTATAGCTTTATAATAGATATATAATAAAATCTATACTAATATCTTACTAAGCTCTTTTAAGTATTAGTAGTTATCTTAGTAAGCCTTAATAAATCTTATAAATAAGAGTAATTTAGTAATAGATATAATAGTTCTTTATCTAATTACTTATATACTAATATACTTAAGATTAATAATATTCTTAGAATAATAGTTTATAAATCTTTAATTAACTAAGTGTTACGCAACGCTCTGTGGTCATAGTGAGTATCGTTCGTTAGGGCTTCTACTTGCTAAGTAGACACTCAATCCTCGAGTCGCCGATTCGCAACTGTACCGTTGCCAGTTGATGTTAGGTCTTATATGGGCTCGGGTCTATAGAATAGACTTAAAGGGGGCTGTGTCTAAGAGGGTGTTGCCTAGTCAAGCTATACTTGGTTTCTGAGTCGAGAGACTAGAGACCAAGGATACCTCTTTCTAGTAGGGTTTATCTTATACGAAACTGATAGGTGAATGAACTGTTAGGTTCCAAGTAACAATATATAGATTAATTGTAAAGAACTAAATACATATAGGTAATAACTATCTTATATATCTAATCCTTCCTATCACTTGATGAGTCCGGGACTCATCACTTGATATTCTCCGGGCTCATCAGTTAATAAGTGGGTCTCATCGCCCGATAAGTCGTCACGTAATCCTCGTCTGTGGGATCCTAATGCTCCCAGGATCCTGCTGTTCATACAATACTAGTGGCTACTACCTATCATAGGATACCGGTATTCTTAGGATAACTAGTATCCTGCGGAATCCTTTAATTGTGGTATATCCTAGGATACTCCTGTTTGTGTAATAGCTGTTATCACACAAAACCATAACCTATATATTATTATAGGATATTCTTTTATCCTAGGGATCCCTAATCCCTATAATACTGTTTATCCTGTGATAGGACCTTTCTTGCGTTACTTTCCTAAGTCATGGTCTTTCTATTGCGATCCTATATTATTCTGTATTGTCTGGGTATAACAGAATAGCTATAGTTCCTAGAACTATGCCTTCTATGTGATCTATACATTAGATAATTCGGTTAGGTCTCGTTGCCCTGCAGGAGTACAACCCCTATAGGTCTATAATATTACCCCCTCCTTTCCTGGATCTTTGCCCTTAAAGATTTTTTTATAATTGTCTATCCCCCTGTAGGTAAGTATTGGTTGTTTCTGATTTTTCTTATATTTTTCTGACTATATCTTCTAAGGCTTCTATCCGTAAGAATGCTTTATCCTAATATATTATAGACAAGGGTTATTAATCTGTTGTCCCTTATGATTGTTATGTTTGTCTTAAGTGAGTGTGTGTTCGGTCTGACTGTTCAGATTATTATAGTAGTTGTGTGAAAGGTGGTGGTGGTGTGAAGTGTATTATATCCTGTCCTACCTATTCTAATGCCGAATGGTGTTGTTTGGTTAAAATTTAAGGGGAGATTACTAATAAGTGTTGGGCTGCTCTTTAGGCTAGCTAGGATGTTATGGCTGCTGTGATGTGTCTTGAGCGTCAGGAAGTGTTACTTAAGAAATATACCGGTAACTTTATTACCTATGATTTTAAAGATATTGCTGAATTAGAAGAACTCGAGTGTCGTGAAAAGGATGAACTGGATCGGCTCGAGAAGGAATATGTTGATGCTGATTGTTCCGAAAATGAATGTAAAGCTAAGACTGCTTTGGCTGTTGGAGAGTATTCTGGTCTTGCTGGTGTTGAGGATGCTTAACTTTTTGTGGCTATATTAGAGGATCCTACTCTAATGTAGATGATTGTGTCTGCGGACTGGAGCGGCGTCAATTTTGATGCTTTCTTAGTTGCTGTCTCTTATGGGTTCTCTTCGCCTTTTGGTAATATTGTTGAACTAGCTGGTGGTAGCCCCTTAAGTTCTTGATTGGTTCCTATGTGTTTTCTTTGGTAGGGTACCCTTGCTATTTTATTAGGAGTTGTTGCTGACTGTTTTTTTATCGGTCTGCTAGGATTTCTTCTACTTTATATTCCTGTTTATTAGCGTCTTCGATTTCAACATTGGTAGTGATTGGTGTGTTCTTTGGTGCTTTTTCTAGTAGCGAAATATGAAAAACTAGGTATATTTGTTTTATGCTTTCTGGTAACTGTAATTGGTAGTTAACTAGTCCTGTCCTTTCTTCGATTGTGAAAGGCCCTAATTTTCGGTGGTCGAGTTTCTTGCTAGGTTGTTTGGTTTTGATGTTTTTTTGTAGGAGGTATACTCTCTCCCCCTTTTTAAGTATAGGCCCTTCTTTATGGTTTTTGTTGTAGTGACTTTTTATTTGTAGATTAAAGAAGTCGAGGTCTTATACTATCTGACTGTATAATTGCTTGATGTTTGTAGCCAGAATTTGTAATAATTCCACTATAGTATAATTATTGATTGGTTCTCTGATAATTGCGGGATTATACCTATAATTCGCAAAGAATAGTGATTCCTTAGTTATTATGTGTATTATGTTATTATATATAAATTATATAATTAGCAACAATCCTACCTAGTTATCTTACTAGTAATTTATATAGTACCTTAGGTATTATTCTAGTATTTAGTTTATTTACTCGGTTTGGCCATTAGTTTACGAGTGGTAGGTGGTTGAGAGTTTATACTCTATTCTGATCTGGTCCGCAAATAAACACTATATATTTGACGTAAATAGCTTATCTCAGTCGGATATGATTTTTCTTAGTGATCCATAGTTTATAAAGATATTCCTAATTAGGATATTCACCATTTATTATATATTAATAGTTTCTGTTATTAGAATCATATAGGTATACTTAGTTAGCCTATCAATAATAATTATGATTATATTATATCCGTCTGAAATTAGTAGTTTAGTAATAAAGTCTATTATGATCTATTCCTATAGTTTTATTGGTACTTCTAAGTTTTGTATTCCTTTGTAGGGTTAGTATTATAAGGGCTTATCCTATTAATAAGTATTATATTGCTAAATATAGTTCCTGACTTTTTGGTATATATTAGGTATATAAAAGTTCCTTATGATTAGCTTAACTATTTTTTCTACCCTTAGGTATCCTTTACTTAGTATATTATAATACTACTAAATAATCTCTTTTTATATTCTTTATAGAATATATACTAATCTATAGATAAGTAGGATTTCTTTATCTAGGATTACCTTTCTATTATTTTCTTTATTAACTATATCCTATAGATACTGGTTATCTCCAGTAGCCTCTCAGATTTATTTAAGCTATATAGTATTTTCTAACTCACTTATTATTATAAGTATCTGATGATTATAGATAAGGTTTCCTTTTTTGTTTATCTTTAGTATTACTAGTACTATATCTTTAACTCTAATCTAGTAGTTAGGTCTCCTGCTTAATGTATCTACTTAGCTATTTATTCTTCCTTTATAATATTTAATCCTATAATTATATTATAAAAGTGTCTTAGCCTAGTATACCTATCATTATATAAGTGTTTTTGTGGTGGTAAAGAATATCAGGTTCATATAATCCGATTTAACTAATACCTAGTGTTTTGCTCCCTCTAGGTATAGTCTCCATACTTTAAATACTAATACTATAGCTAGTAGTTCTTTATTATAGATATTATAATTAAGTTCTGCTAGTATTATCTTTTATGACCAAAAGGTGATTGGTTTAGGTCCTCTAATCCTATTAGTAATAATTTCTTACATAAGTTATACCCCAATTATATAGTCTAACATATCTGTTTCGACTATAATAGATAATTCCGGATTGAAGGTATAAATGATTGGTCTTGCTTGGAATAATTCTTTTAGTCCCTTAAATGATTTATCTACTACTTTATCTTATTCCTAAACTTAATCTTTCTTTGTTAACTAGTTAAGTCCTACTATAATCTTACTAAAGTTATCTATACTTCTTTGGTAATAGTTGTATAGTCCTAAGAATTATTATACTTCTTTGATAGTTTTAAGTTAAGGCTATTCTAAGATACTCTTGATCTTTTCCTCCTCTATACTGAAACTGTTATTACTAATGATATATCTAAGAAACCTAGTTTCTTATATATAGAATTTATACTTCTTGAGCTTAAGAGTTACTTTAGCTTCTCTAAGCTTTTCTAGTACTTTCTATATATGTCTTATATATTCTTCTTCTGTTTTGGAGAAGACTAGGATATCATCTAAGTATGTGATAATGAATGTGTTAAGGTATTCTTCTAAAATGCTGAAGATAAATTGTTAGAAGGATGCTGGTGTATTGGTTAATCTGAATGGTATGATTATATATTTGTAATGTCTGAACTTTGTTCTGAATGCTATTTTCTATTTGTCTCCATCTTTGATATATAAGTGATTATATGTGTTGGTGATATTAAATTTGGTAAACTACTTTGCTCTATGAATTTGATCTTGAATCTCTTAGATTAATGGTAATAGGTATCGGTCTTTAATGGTAATCTTGTTTAGTTATCTGTAATCCATATAAAGATATAGCTTATTGCCCTTCTTTGGTATGAATAGGATTGGATATCTTGTTGGTGATGTGGAGTATTGAATGTAATCCTTTGCTAGGTTCTTATTAATGTATTCCCTTAGTACCTAAGATTCCTTTTTAGATAACTGATAAATTGGTATATATCTTGGTTCTTTTCCCTTCTGAATTGGAATCTAATAGTCATATAGCCTATACTCTGGTAGCTGGCCGATTGGTGGTGCTGTGAATATATCCTGGAACTCCTGGTATTCCTGAGGTAGTTCTGGTGCTCCTTCCTCTGTTATGTAAAGGGATTTCTTGTGGTGTACCATGATATATTCTTTGAGTTTATTATTACTTATATTAGGTTGTTACTCTAACTCCTTAATAATACTTGTGTTATTAGTCTTATGGACCCTGCCCTTAGGTTGAAAGATTATATTAGGCTTCTTATCCTGTGGTCTTCTATAGGCTCCCGCTCCCGATCCGGTACCTCGGTTTGTTAGTGGTTAACTGCTTTATTATTGGTTTGCTGTCTTGTATTTATAGTTGATAAAATCGATCTGTTGAGTGCCCTAATGGATTACTGGATTATGGTGTTTAAGCTATGGTATTCCTAGTATTATATTATATCCTCCTAGATTTGTGATGTTGAACTTTATTGATTCTAGATGGTTTCTGATGATTATAGGTAATGGCCTAGATTTGTGAGTTATCCCTAGTCCTAGGCTTTCTTTATTAAGCCTTGTGATTGGTGTTGCTCTTGTTTTCTGGTGTAGCTGTACCTGTAGTTGATGTGTGTAGTGTGGGTCTATGAAGTTTCTATATGCTCCTGAATTAATTAGTACTTTACCTAATTATAGAAGGATGTTTGCTTCGATTTTAAGGTATGCCCCCTATTTGGTAGCTGTGAGTTATTAGAAAGCTGGCTTCTACTTGGGTAGTTTCTTCTATTTTGGTATTGGCTTAGTATAGGTTAGTACTATCCTTTTCTAATTATATTCCTTGTAATCCTTCTTATAGTAGTGATTAGTTATTATATATTAATATTGTGGGTATTATTTGAATCCTATATAAGTGTATAGCTTGTCTCTATATAGGTATAATCCTTCTGTGTTAACTAGTCTTAGTTATTCCTAAAGCCAGCACTTAAGCTTATCTTGTTTAACTTTTGCTTAGCTTGAAATTCCTTATAGTTCCTAGTAGAGTTGTTTAACTCTCTCTTTGCTATTTGTTGTAGTATTATTATTAATCTTGGGAGATTCTGTAGGTGTTTATATGGCCTTCTAGGCTTTAAAAGTATTATTTTGGGGTATTATAGCTCTATCTGTTGCTATAGGTCCTAGTTGGTCTATCTGTTGACTTATGGCTGCTAGTACCTATATATCTATAGATGTATATCCTATACAGCCTTAGGTCTTAGGTTATGGTTCTTCTGCGGCTATATTTCTATATACATCGTCAGTCTACTTGATTTCTGTGAATTTATCACTATTATATCTTTCTACTATTTCCTATGTTGTGTGGAGTTGTTAAGCCTTCCCTTTATTTTTAAGGCCGGTAATGTTATAGGCTTCTTGGTCTTGGGTAGCTCTAATCTATTATGGGTAATTACTCTTGCTTCGGTAATCCTGTGATATATATCCTGGTTTCCTATATGAGAAATATAGGTGTTGTTCCTTCTGACGCTTCTGTTCTTCGTCGGGTAGTCTTATTATGTTGAGCTCTATAGGTTGTGGTCTATAGGGGTTGTTATATAACTCTCTAGGCTGCTGTCGGCGGGCTCCTAACTGTGGATGGTACGGTCGGTTGGAATTACTTTTCCACTATTTACTCTCTTGCCGTTACTATGCTCTCTTATAGAGTTGGTTGTTGAATTTGACCGCTACCTTGATAAGTTTACTTAGTTTATCGGGTTTGTTAATTCGTATAAGTTCGTCTTTGACTTCTTCCTTTAATCCATGCTCAAATAGCCAAATATAGGTATCGTTATCTATGTCTAGGTGTGAGATGATTTATTAGAATTCTGCTATATAGCTACTGGCCGAGCCAGTTTGTCGTAGTTGATCGAGCTTTCTTTCTGCTGTGCGTACTATGTTGATGTCTCCGAAGGTCTGTTCGAGTTTCTGCTTGAATTTGTCGTAAGACCCGAAGATGTCCTTCGTCGTATTGCTCCATTTTTTCATTGGTTTCTCGTTGAACTCCCGGATGTAGGGTTCGAACTAGTTGAATGCCTGTCCCCTTAAGTAGGTAGATGTATAAATAACTTTGTCTGCTTCCTCGGAGCAGCGAATGATGCGAAGTTGCATTTCCATTTGAGTCAGGAAGCTTCGAAGCTGAGTTCGAGCTCCTTCAAAGAATGCAGGCTTTGGTGGTTTGACTACCGGTGCTGAGCGGTTGTTCAGGGTGACGAGCTGCTCCTGGAGCTGGCTCACCATCGCCATGAGTTGCTCATTGGTAGGCGTTGCTGTTGCAGGTGGTGCAACGGACGCTGTAGTCCGCTGTCCTCCCTGGTTGTTGGCTGCTTCGTTCGGCGCCATGCTGATTACTGATTTCACGTATGTTCCGCAAAGACAGGACGATCAATGTGTTACGCAACGCTCTGTGGTCACAGTGAGTATCGTTCGTTAGACCCGAGCCCGTATAAGGCCTAACGTCAACTGGCAACGGTACGGTTGCGAATCGGCGACTCGAGGATTGAGTGTCTACTTGGCAAGTAGAAGCCCTAACGAACGATACTCACTGTGACCACAGAGCGTTGCGTAACACTAAGATAGCTAATAATAAGGATATTATAATATTAATATAAGATTTTAGCTTTTAGTTTATTATTATAAAGGATATATAAGTAATTCTAATAATATAAATAATTACTCTTTTATTTATAATTAATAAGGGTGATCTTAGAGTAATAAGTAATATTATTATTTAGTACCTTTAGGATTAATTATATAATCTTATTATAATTATAAGCTTTATCTAATATATCCCTAAATATAGATAGTAATATAAATAAGTTATTATTAGTAAAATATACTTTTTATAATAATTATTCTAAGATTATAACTAATAGATTAGGTAGTTTAGGTAGATTTAGATTATTAATAAGTAGTTTAGGTATCTCTAGCTCTCTAAGAGTATTAAATAGTTCTAGGTCTTTAGGTATTATAAATAATATAGATAGATTAATAAATATATTTAGGTTTTTAATTACTTTTAACTAAGTTATAATATTAAGTTATAGATTTTCTTTCTTTAGGATAACCTAACTCTAATATAATAATTATTTATCCCCCTTCTTAAAGATATCTTCTAACCTCCTAGTTAGTATATTAGATTTTATATCTTATTTACTAGGTTAATACTAGATCCTAAAATTAAATTAGGATAAAAATTTAGATTAATAGGCTTATTAATAGTTTAATAATTTTATTATTATAAAATATTCTAGGTTCTAATAATTAATTATTATATAAATAGATAAGAGTATATCCTCTAACTTAGGATACTATTTCTTAAAATATTAGATAATAACTAATAATTCCTTATTATAAATCTTATAATTATACTTAATAGTAAAATACTTCTTAGAGAAAAAAATAATAAGATATAAGACTTTAGTATTATTATACTAAGATAGGACTCTAATAAAAATATAGTTAGATATATCTATTTTAAGGATTATATCCTTTATCTAATTAAAAGACTTTAGGATTAAGATAGATATAAATACTTTTTTTAATATTTTAAAGCTTATTTAGTAGATAAGGGTTTATTTAAATAGGATACCCTTCTTTATAAGTTTTATTAATAGAGTAATAATTTTAAAAAAATCTTAGATAAAATAGTAATAAAAGTTACTAAAACTAATAAAAGCTTATATATTAGTTAGATAAGATAAAATCTTTTATTTTATAATTATCTTAATCTTTTTAGGATCTATCTAGATATTATCCTTTCTAATAATAATATCTAAGAACTTAGTTTTAAATATAATAAATTTATATTTAGATAGCTTTATAAATAATCTAATAGATCTTAGATAGGCTAAGATAAGATAGATATATTAGATATATTCTATTTAGGTTTTACTATAAATTAGGATATTATTAAGATATATTATATAAAAGCTATTAAGATACTCTTATAATATATTATTAATAAAATATTAAAATAATATAAGAGCTTTAGTTAGGCTAAAAGATATTATAAGAGATTTAAATAATCTTAGTCTTATATAGAATATAATTAAGTATTCTTATCCTTTTATAATCCTTAGGTTATTAAAGATAAAGATAATATTAATCTTTATAAAATATTTTATCTCTTTTAGGTTATTTAGGATTTTTTTTATTAATAATAAAGAATAATAATCTTTTATAATTATTATATTTAGGATATAATAATTTATATAGAATTAAAGATCTTTATTTAGCTTCTTTATAAATAAAATAGGTAATATAATAAGTAATATACTTAGGTAGATAAATCCTTTTCTTAGATTATCTTTAATCTATTTTTTTAGGATTTATAACTTTTCTTAGGATATTAGATATAAGGGATTAAATAATAATACTTTCTCTTCTTATAATAATATCTTATAATTATAAGATTAATATAAGAATAAGTACTTAGTTTTTTTAAGAGAGAATATTTTAGTAAAATGTTAGAATTTAGTAGATAAGATAATAATAAGATTAAACTTAGTAAGGGCCTTTAGGTTTAGGGTAGACTTAATATCCTTAATAATAATTATAAATATTTAGTAATTCTTTTATATATATATAGTATAAATAATTAGTAAAATAGTAGTAATATCCTATTTCTTTAGTTTAATAAATTATAATAATAAGTATTTTAAGTAAATCTTAGTAAATATATTATAAAATACTTAGATCTTTATATTTTATAAAGATATATTATAATACTTTTAGTAGTAATTATTACTAAACTTAATAATATATTTAGTAAAATAAATTTAGGGATTATATATCTTTAGCTATAATAAGCCTAATATAATTAAGTAATAGACTAATTATATAATTAAGAAATAAGCTTTCTTTTCTTAATAGTTATTTATATAAGTATATATCTATATATAATAAATAATTAGCTTATTCTTAGTCTCTTAGTTATTAAATTCTTCTAGATAAATAGGTTTTATAAATAGAAGTAATACTAAGCCTTTCTCTTAGGCTTAGTTAGTATTAATAAATCTCTTTTTTTTAGCTCTAGAGTTAAGTATTATATAGCTTAATAATTCCTCTTTATTTTAGTTTAGTATAATAGGTAGTATTATTAAGTTAGATTAGTAAGTTTCTTCCTTAATAATAAGATTAATTAGGATAATAATAAATAGATAGATAATATATAATTTTAGTATTTAGTTATAGCTTAGGCTAGACTTACTTTTTTTTCTAAATCTTTAGATAAGAGTAAATAATAAGAGATTATATAGCTATAGTTCTTATATAGAAGGGATAGGGTTTAAATAGTTATCTAATAGATAGCTAAAAGATAGTAATTAATATATAAGTAGTTATATATAAAATACTCTAAGAAGCTATAATAGAAATAGATATTCTAATTATAATAAGAATAGTTTAAGAATATATAATAATATATTATAGATAGATCTATAATATTAAGATTTATAAATAAGATAGGATTTTATTTAGTAGCTTATCTTTAAGAGATAAGCTTAGTTATTTTTAGTAAAATAGGAGAGTTTACCCTTATAATAATAATAAAGATCTAAGAGATAGATAATAAAATACTATTATATTAAGTATAATAATTCTTAAGATTCTAGAGGAAATATACTAAATTATAATAATTTCTATTTAGTAGATTATAATAGAGTAGTATACTCTTTAGTTTATAGCTAATTATTTATTTAAATATTATTAATAAGATATCTTTAAGTATATTACCTTTTATAGTTAATTATTAGAACTTAGTAAAAAAGGAACTAAATTCCTTATTCCCTTAATATAATTAATATAATTTATTTTAGATATTATAGTTATAATTTAGGTCTCTAAAGGCTTATTTAAGGATTTCTAGGATATTAATAAAATTATATAATTAGTATATACTCTTATAGATATATAGTAGGATCTAGATATAAGAGATATTCTTTAAGTAATTAATTATATAGATTATATAGGTTTATAGGATTAGATAATAGTTAAAATTAATATTTAGCTTCTTCTTAATCTAAGAAATAAACTAATAAAGATCTTTTTATTCTTTTTTAAACTTATTAGGATTAAGAAAATACTTAGATTAAATATATAAACTAAAAGACTTAGGAGTAAATAATAAAGATATTCCTATAATAGTAACTATAAGAAACTTAGTAATTAGCTTATAAATAAGGATAAATATAATAATTACTGTAAGAATAGTAGCTTAGATAGCTCTAATCCTTTTAATCTTAGTCTCTTAGAGACTAATCTAGCTTTTCTTATATAATTTCTCTTAATATATAATAATACTAGTATCTTATATATAATTATACTTAGCTAAGATAAGATCTTTAGTAAGATACTTAATCTCTATTCTTATAACCTATAAATATAGTTTAGCTTAGTTTATAAGCTTATAAGTATTTAATATCTTAGACTAGATAGCTTCAATATAATCATATATACTTTAGTAGTACTTAAACCATTATTTAGGATACTCTCTAATATAAATAGTAAACTATTTAAGATTACTTAGTAAGAATAGGGATTAAGAAATAGGTATAAATATCTTTAATAATAATAATAGATAACTCCTAAGAGAGGAGCTATATAATATTAAGATATAAGATCAAGTAGGTATAATAGGAGTTAATCCACAAGAATCCAGGATAATAGGGTTCATTCAGATATATATAGATACATTTAATTCAGACAGGAAGCTCTCAGATACAAGAGGTCTTATTTACAAGATATAGCTCAAGGAACTATATTCAGATCAGAATCCTTAGATAGGATATATAAGCTATAGATCACATAACTATAGCCCTTATAACAGGTCCATATAGATATAGCCAGCTATTCCAGGCTCATACTATAATACTTATTTTTATTATTATATCTAATCTATAAAACTTTAGTATTATACTAGGTTTCTATTATTTTATACTAGATTTTAAAAGATTATAGAATCTTACTCTTACTCTTAAGATTAATTATCTAAATATAATAGATATAATTATTAATAAGAATAATATAATAATATTCTTCTTAAGGGCTAAGGATTAGAATAAAACTAATATCTATATAGATAAGTTTAAGGATTTTAATAATATAAATTAGTAATTAAGTAAATTAGATTTTTAGTATTTTAGCCTAAAAATAGATATTATAAAAGAGTTACTTAATCTTTATTAAGATATTAATTTTATTTATTAGATCTATAGTATATTAAAGGATATTAAGACTAAAATAGTTAAGATATCTATATTAGAGAGTAGTTAAGATTAATATCCTTATTAATTTATAATTAGGTAGAGTAATAAAGTTTAAGATTTAAGTAAAAAGGATTA